ACTACCAAGTAAAAGACTACAACGCAGGAAACAAGTTGCTAACTGGAGAATATGTAAGCTAATTGAAATGAAGTTCTAGACTTATATTCATTTGCCAGTACTTTTGATTGCAAAATGTAACCTCAGAAAAGCCTCAAAGCCTAGAATTTGATGAGATACTGTTGACGCTTCATGGCAGTACTAATAGCCTAATTCAGATAAATTGAGAGCTGTCTTGCTCAGATAGGCTTTGGGAAAGTGCCTTTACCCCCATTCCACTGACTGTTAATTTGGAGGACCAGGTGCTGATTGCCTAAAACTTCAGTGTCCAGTTTTATAGCCATGTAATTAAAATCAAAAGTAGAATTGGCTTCAGAAACTTTAATTGATGAGAATGCTGTGTTGCTTGTTAGTTAGTGGCTATTCTCCTAGTTAGCTGCATACGAGTCCAATGTCTTTTTCTTCCTAAGACTGTCTTTTTTACATCTATGCAGACATTTTTTTCAGGAGCTGACGTGCTGAATAATTGTTTTATAAAATGTATACTGATGATGGGCTGCTGATGGCCAAAGTAAGGTGGCTGAACAAAATGTTAATTATACTGGAGAGCAGGACAGTGCCAGATAGTATTCGAAAGAAACATGAAATATAGGTAGTCAAATTTAAGTCAAAACATGAATCTTAAATTTTGTAGAATTACCTCTGGAGATGGGAACTAGAAATTAATGAAATTTCTGAAAAAAATTGCGCTCTGCTATGGCTTGGGGTTATTCAGCACTAAGATCAATCTGTCACAAACCCCAGCAATGTTACTGAAAACAGGTTTCCACAGTGGTTTCCTATGAACTGTTGTTTAATGGTATTATAAATAGTTTAAATATTACGACTGTGACTCAGTTATTTTCAATACCGGGGGATACCTTATTAGGATTTGCTCCCACCAAACCTGCTTTGCTTACCATGAAAGTTAAGACTACTGTGGCTAAATATAGATTATAGAAGAAAGATGCTAACGCTTTCAAGTTCAAGCACACAGTTAGACAAATACTATAAACAGGCTGATGTTTTGTAAACTAGTACTTAACAGAGGCACAGAATAGACGCTCTCCCATGGGAATTTTCTGTGCTCCCTCTGTGGCTTTTACGGGAACAAGTAGCTACTCTTAGTTAGGTATCTAAGCTCTCTTTTAATTACTGTTAATTTCAGGTCCAATAGTGACAAGAGACCGACAAAGCTTGCTAGCAGTGAGCTTTCAGGCAAGCTGCCCAATGTAGTTTTGCCAATACATTGATCTGCACTACCCTTGCTATGTCTGCCCCGACTTTTCCAGGATACAGTTAATTTTAAACAAGGTTCTAGTGCTGGTTTAGTCCTGCTGTAATCATGGCCTTGGTGAACCTCACAGTCTTTGTGTTTTGGTGCCGATTTGGAGAGCATTCAGAAATCAGTTCACCTGAGTGCGTTATCAGTTGTGTTAGTAGTAGGAATAGAGTTAAATACCTGCCCGTAAGGTTTCTAAGACTGGAGATCCGAGCCTGCAATGTTGCACAGGTCAGGTCAAACTGGGGGTCCGTTCCAAACATTTCACAAAACCCAGTGTTTTTGGTTAAAGCCGTGTCATTTAAAAGTACAATTTTGCACGCAGTGTTCAACAGTGCTGTAAAGAAACCGAGTTTCCTCGGTCAGGGTAAGATTTTTATTTTTATTTTTTCCCCTCCTGAGTTTTCCTGAGTCAGGGTAAGAATTCACAAATCCTCTCTGATATGATATTACTACTATGAAATGTATAAGTAGATGTCCATGGCAAAGGATGGTGTTGTCACCAAGATCTATGGTTTGAGATTGAAATTCCCTGTTGATGAGATCATCTGTGCTACCAGCTTCCTGAGCTGGTGCTGTCGCAGCACCGTCCTTTATCTTTACTTGCATCCTGATCCTGGCTATGCTGTAGTTACGTCTGGCTAAACTTTCATTGATGTTCTTTGCAGTAAATTTATTCCCTTTGTCTCCCAAGCAGGAAGGAGGCTTGCGAAATAGGCTCCAGTTATTTGAATGCATCCATGAAAACTGGCCTTATCTGTCTCACAAATTTCTTCTCTCTTTCCCAGACCTTCTATCTGCAACTGGGAAGTGTCAGGCTATTACAACTCTCGAAAATGAGATCTTGGGTAGCTCTATTTTTCATTACCTGTTCCTTTTATTGGAACAGAAAAATTGCATTATAACTCTGCTGGAGCTCAGTATGTCTGTGAGGCCCTGTTTCCTGTCCGAAATTTCCTATAGGAATGAAGATGAAAGAAGATTTTCTTTCTTGGTTTCTTGTTGTCTCTTCTGTTGTATCTTTTATATTTTGCTTGAATGCAGTAGGTTCTATCTACAACCATGATTTTATTGTCGAAGTTTGTTGTAACCTGCCTGCGTGCAGCTTTACAATACTCTGTAAAACTGTGGGAGAAATGTGAATTATGCCTTATCAGTCACTAAAAACGTTATTGAAAAGCAAGAAAACAGAAACTAACCAAATGTCTAACTGCTGGGAGGGAGGACGTTTCAGTTCCATCGTGCAGGGTATTTAAAATGACCTCCCCAAGCTCAGCTAGGACAGCAGTTTCATTTGTTGGGAATTAAAGCTAGAACTAGCCATGACTTTGCTAGGAAGCTTGCCTGTAAAGGAAGGAGCTCTTTGCTTCTTTACTCGAAGTCTGTCATATCCTTACATAAAGCAGATAGATAGGATGTTTCATACCACTTAAGAAGTGGCAGCAGGCGGTCTGAATTAGTAGATTTAGTATGAAGCTTTTGACAACCCATGTGCAACATACACGCTGCAGCTAGTAGAGTGAAGCTTGAGACAGATGAACCAATCCATATTTCATGACCAACAAAAAGCATGGCTCTACTCCCTTGTCACTTGTTTATCTTGCCCATTTTGCTACCTTTTATCTGCTCCTGAGATTTTCTTCTCACCCAGCAGAACATGCTGTGATTAAGACAGCTGCTGATTGGGCGTCCCCCGCTCCATTGCCTGCCGCCTCCTACACCTGCGGCACAACAGCGCAGCTTCCCCACAGCTCTGGCCTGTGTTTGGCAGTGGGCATCCAAAAGGTGGATAAGCGCTACGCTGCAAGCCAGGACTTCGTGTCTAGTGGGACTCCCTCTTCACAAGAATCTTGCTAAAGGGTCTGTTTCTAAGGCAGCAACCCTGCTTCAGAAACCCTCCCCAGCCTGGGACCCCCACACGTATGCACCGCCTGTGACCCCGATACACGGGCTGCCTGCGTCTCCCATCTCAAACCCTGGCACGTGGAGCCTCGGACATGGGCAGGTTAGAGAAGCTAAAGCATCCGCCTGAGGCAGCACTCCGTTTCCATTCTCATTTCTGCAGGCCATGTGATGCACAGCACTGCAAGCCGTTAGGATGCGCCTATCTTGTAAACACTCAGGGCAAATAGTCTTAAAAAAAAACTAAGGATGTGAATTTAAATTGCATTAGTCAAAATGAACTAAACCTTGTACAGAAGGCCTCCTCCGGCATTAACTTCATTTGAGTCCATGTTTTCCAACACAAAGAAATCCTTTATGCTTCCCTTTATCTGCAAACAGCACTTCAAGCTTTCAAAATCTATCACAGACATCTGATAAAATAAAAAATATGGGCAAATTAATCAGATTTTGAAAATGGTGGTTTAGTATTTGAATTTGCTCCTTTCATTTGGTTATTTCACCTTATTATTTATGTCACTTTAAAGATGACATAGTACAATACAGGGTCAGCTTTCCTCTATAATAACAGTTTTCTTGTAGATTTGTTACTAATGCATGTGCCCTCTCTCTCCTGGCTAATGTGTATTTTCAAATCATCATCTAATTTTTCTATGCCTTTTAGCACGTAGTCTTTTCACTTACCAAAGTCATGGGGAAGTTTTAATGTATTTCAGTGCAGTTTTTCTTATACGTACATTTTAAGCGTAATAAAAAAATGATAGAGTGCAGTCTTGCCATTAAGCTTAATACCAACTTCTGGTACAGATGGTAGTCCATCAAGATTAAAAACACCACAGGAAGAAAATACATCCAGACAGCCAGCAGGTATCCCTTCAGCCTCTAGACAGAGTGCTGAAAACCAGCGTTTCTCTAGCTCTCTCACTATTTCATGCACAGTAATAACCTCTGGCAAGGTTTTTTTTGTGTTCTCACTGGATTGTGTGTTGAAAACAATACAGTTCTGCTTAAAACTGTTCTATGTTTTATTTTTAAAATAAGTTTTATTGAAACTGTATGTGCGGTGGCATTAGTCTGGCATACAACAGTGTTAATCTTCCTGCTTAGTTCTGCCAGTGCATTGATCTGCAGTACGATTCCTATTTTTATCCCCACTGTTTGAAGTGCAGTCAGTCATGACCACATTTCCATTAAAGACTAGGCGCTGAACCATTTTAATCTGTGACTAATAAAAAAATCGTAACATTTTCATTAAATCCACATACAGTCTCGTCACTATCATTGGTGCTGGCAGCGTAGTGATTTTCTGTTTCTTGAGCGATGCATCTGCCATTGCCAGTGATCTACACCAATTAGACAGCCAACTTTTTCCTTCACTCGCAAGTAATATGTACTCAGTATTAGTGTCCCAGATATGTTTGATATATCTGTAAATTTATTATTCAACTGGCAAAGGGAGAACACCACAAGAAAATGGAAAGCCAGAAGAATAAGCAATAGGTCGAAGAAATAGGAACCAGTAACTCCTTGATGTGAATGAGGTCTGAGGGGAGAGACCTCCGTTCTCTTAGCTCAAGGGGCAGAGATCCATACTGTAGATGAAAAAGTTTTAGCACTGCTATTTGCTTTGTAGATCGCAAAAAATGCACGCACGTTTTTGTAAACTTAGGAAAAAAACCCAACCAAAATGAAAATATTAGAATTAGATTACTCATGCAGACTTAATTACTGCCTGCTCCAGGAATATAAAGTTTAAATTAATTACCTGATTACATATTAATCTATGTATTTATTACAGGGCTGCTTTGTCATTCTGTGGGAAAGGTGAGCGATGCTCTGTGAGGAAGCTGGTGAAGGAGGCTGCTGTCTGCAAAAACAGCCCCTGCCAATTCGTGACGAAAAGCGTAAGCTGGGTAGCAACTGAGGTGCGGAGCTTCAGCTGGTGAGAAAGGGACCTGGCTGGAGCTCTGAAGAGTGAGAGTGCTCCTCTGCTACGTTGTCCCAGTGGGGACAAGGGAGAGGTTTGGAGACTCAGGTAAGCTCAAACACCCATTTTTAATATGCAGGGAGAGAAAAATCAGGTAAAGGAGGTTATGGGAAAGGGTAAAGAAACATCCACCCTAAGGTGATGGAGGGTAAGAGGCAGTATTAAGACTGAACAGCAGATGGGAAAAAGTTAGGGGGCAATCTGAAGTCTTTTAGCGTGGTTAGATAGCCTCTGGCCCAGGGCTGGCATGGGGTCTGGGCAGAGCTGCTACCGTCTGTCTACGCTCTGCCCAGGGGATACATTCACATGGCAGAGATTAGCACTCCAAAGGAAGGAAATGCCAGACATAAATTACGTGAATAATCTTAATTTTGCTCTTGTGGGTGCGTTTCGTGATAGTAACAGGATCAAATACTGCTTTTATTTATTTTTTTTTGTCCAGAGGGCCCAAGCTTTTCTCTGTGCACAGAAAAGTGCAGCCATCCCACGCAGCTAATAAGCAGCATTTTTTTTATTTTTTTCCTTGTGTTTAATGAACAGCGTTGTATCTCTGCATCACGTACTAAAGGAACCCCGGCGGAGCTCTCGTGTAACAGTCACAACTCTGGAATAAACGGGAGAAGCTCCTGAAATTACTATTTTTTTTTTTTTTAATCTTTCTGAGTAGGGCCTGTACAACCGTTATCCCGACTACCGCGTTGGAGGCGCCCAGAGCTGGGCGGCGTTGGGGAGAAGCCCGAGCCCAGAGACCGGGCCCTGCCGGGGACAGGCAGGCCCTGGGCTCGGGGAGCACCGGCAGAGCGGAGGCGCAGCAACAGCCGCCAGGTGACCAACACCTTCCGCGGCCGGTTCTTACCGCCGACGGGTCGT